CAGGCTTGGGTTCAACTTTGGGTTCTTCACTAGAGCAGCAACTGATTTGTCGTTTCATGAAGTGTCCCTTTTTTTGCCCTTGCCCTTCTTGAAACTAGTGGTTTTACTAACCATCAACAATTGATGCTCCTATTTGATTTCTACTTTCGCGGTGTCGCGAATAGCTCAAGGATCATCATATCTATCCCTAATATGTTATAGTTCATCACGAAGCTCTAGTAGCTTGGTGGCAGTGACTTCGGAGGACCATCACTATCTCATCTGGAAGATCAACTCCCACTCGATTCAAGCGATTGTTGTACTCATACAATCTGAGCACATACTCAACGATTGAGCTTTTCTCCTTAGTTTGCAGGCTTAGGAAACTTGTCAGAGGTCTCATACCTCTTGACGTGGGCACTAGCCTGAAATCCCAATTTCAGTCGTTGGAACATCTCATATGTTCTGCGATGTTTCAAAAACGTCTTTGGTGCCTCAATTCTAAACCATTTAGCATTACGCACTGAACTATCATGTAGTCATTAAAACATGTATGTCAGATGTTCGCAACATCCACAACCGACGCTCGAGGTTCAGCTCACTGAGCGGTGCATTAAGGACATAATCCTTCTGCGCAGCAATGAGGACAATCCTCAGTTTAAGGACCCAGTCCGCATAACTTCTACTATCAACTTTCAACTAAATTTTCTCTAGGAACATATCTAAAACAGTAGTACTAAAGCGTAAGCTACGCCATAATTTGCAAAGTCCTTTTGACTATGTTCATGATAATTAAGTTCATCTGATTATTTAATGAACTCCCACTCAGATGGACATCCCTCTAGTCATCTAAGTGATACATGATCCGAGTCAACTAGGCCGTGTCCGATCATCACGTGAGACGAACTAGTCATCATCGGTGAACATCTTCATGTTGATCGTATCTTCTATACGACTCATGTTCGACCTTTCGGTCTTCCGTGTTCCGAGGCCATGTCTGTACATGCTAGGCTTGTCAAGTCAACCTAAGTGTTTTGCATGTGTAAATCTGGCCTACACCTGTTGTATTCGAACGTTAGAATCTATCACACCGATCATCACGTGGTGCTTCGAAACAATGAACCTTCGCAACGGCGCACAGTTAGGGGGAACATTTTTCTTGAAATTATTGCGAGGGATCATCTTATTTTAGCTACCATCGTTCTAAGCAAATAAGATGTAAAAACATGATAAATATCACATGCAATCAAATAGTGACATGATATGGCCAATATCATTTTGCTCCTCTTGATCTCCATCTTCGGGGCGCCATGATCATCATCGTCACCAGCATGACACCACGATCTCCATCATCATGATCTCCATCATCATGTTTTCATGAAGTTGTCTCGTCATCTATTACTTCTACTACTATGGCTAACGGTTTAGCAATAAAGTAAAGTAATTACATGACGTTTAAGTTGACACGCAGGACATAAATAAATTAAGACAACTCCTATGGCTCCTGCCGGTTGTCATACTCATCGACATGCAAGTCGTGATTCCTATTACAAGAACATGATCAATCTCATACATCACATATATCATTCATCATATCCTTTTGTCCATATCACATCACACGGCATGTGCTGCAAAAACAAGTTAGACGTCCTCTAATTGTTGTTGCAAATTTTTACGTGGCTGTTATAGGTTTCTTAGCAAGAACGTTTCTTACCTACGCCAAAACCACAACGTGATATGCCAATTTCTATTTACCCTTCATAAGGACCCTTTTCATCGAATCTGATCCGACTAAAGTGGGAGAGACAGACACCCGCTAGCCACCTTATGCAACTAGTGCATGTCAGTCGGTGGAACCTGTCTTACGTAAGTGTACGTGTAAGGTCGGTCCGGGCCGCTTCATTCCACGATGCCGCCGAATCAAGATAAGACTAGTAACGGCAAGTAAATTGACAAAATCGACGCCCACAACTACTTTGTGTTCTACTCGTGCATAGAAACAACGCATAGACCTGGCTCATGATGCCACTGTTGGGGAACGTAGCAGAATTTTAAAATTTTCTACGCATCACCAAGATCAATCTATGGAGTAATCTAGCAACGAGGGAAGGAGAGTGCATCTACATACCCTTGTAGATCACTAAGAGGAAGCGTTCAAGTGAACGGGGTTGATGGAGTCATACTCGTCGTGATCCAAATCACCGATGATCCTAGCGCCGAACGGACGGCACCTCCGCATTCAACACACATACGGTTGGGAGAGACGTCTCCTCCTTATTGATCTAGCAAGGGGGAAGGAGAGGTTGATGGAGATCCAGCAGCACGACGGCATGGTGGTGGAAGCAGCGGGGATCTCGGCAGGGCTTCGCCAAGCTCAGCGAGAGGGACAGGTGTTACGAGGGGAGAGGGAGGTGCCAGGGGCTAGGGTGCGGCTCCCATGCGCCTCCCCACTATATATAGGGGTGGAGGGGCTGGTTTCTTGCCCTCCAAGTCCATTGGGGCGTTGGCAAAGGTGGGGAAAAAAATCCCATCATTTTCCTTCCCCACCGATTGTTATTCCCCCCTTTTAGGGATCTTGATCTTATCCCTTTGGGATATGATCTTATTCCTTCTAAGGGGGGATCTTGGTGTGCCTTGACCAGGGGTGTGGGGCCTTGCCCCCACTACCCACGTTTATGTGGGTCCCCCCATGCAGGTGGGCCCCACTCCGGAACCTTCTAGAACCTTCCTGGTACAATACCGAAAAATCCCGAACATTTTCTGGTGGCCAAAATAGGACTTCCCATATATAAATCTTTACCTCTGGACCATTTCGGAACTCCTCGTGACGTTCGGGATCTCATCCGGGACTCCGAACAACTTTCTGGTTACCGCATACTAATATCTCTACAACCCTAGCGTCACCGAACCTTAAGTGTGTAGACCCTACGGGTTCGGGAGACACACAGACATGACCGAGATGACTCTCCGGTCAATAACCAACAGCAGGATCTGGATACCCATGCTGGCTCCCACATGTTCCACGATGATCTCATCGGATGAACCACGATGTTGAGGATTCAATCAATCCCGTATTCAATTCCCTTTGTCCAGCGGTATTGTACTTGCCCGAGATTCGATCGTCGGTATCCCGATACCTTGTTCAATCTCGTTACCGGCAAGTCTCTTTACTCGTTCCGTAACACATCATCCTGTGATCAACTCCTTGATCACATTGTGCACATTATGATGATGTCCTACCGAGTGGGCCCAGAGATACCTCTCCGTCACACGAAGTGACAAATCCCAGTCTCGATTCGTGCCAACCCAACAAACACTTTCGGAGATACCTGTAGTGCACTTTTATAGCCACCCAGTTACGTTGTGACGTTTGGCACACCCAGAGCATTCCTACGGTATCCAGGAGTTGCACAATCTCATGGTCTAAGGAAATGATACTTGACATTAGAAAAGCTTTAGCAAACGAACTACACGATCTTGTGCTAGGCTTAGGATTGGGTCATGTCCATCACATCATTCTCCTAATAATGTGATCCCGTTATCAACGACATCCAATGTCCGTCAGGAAACCGTAACCATCTATTGATCAACGAGCTAGTCAACTAGAGGCTTACTATGGACACGGTGTTGTCTATGTATACACACATGTATCTGAGTTTCCTATCAATACAATTCTAGCATGGATAATAAACGAATATCATGAACAAGGAAATATGATAATAACTAATTTATTATTGCCTCTAGGGCATATTTCCAACAACGATTTCCTCAACAATGATCCTACGTGCTCCTTTTACGTAGCCTAAATCCTAGGCATTCGTCGGATCGGGCTTTCCAAAGCTTGGCCTTAAAATTTCAAGCCCGGGTCCGGCCCGGCCGAAACACATGAACACCATATTATTCTAATAAAATAGTCATTTATAATATATTTTACCTATGTTTCTAATAAAATAGTCATTTGTGGACTGTTCGGGCTTTTTCGGCTTTCGGGCCAGACTCGGGCCGAAAAGCTAAGCTCGAGCCCAGGCAGAACGTCGGGATTTTGAGCCGGGCTTTCCGGGATGGGTTGTCCATGCCCGGGTCTAACATAACCTTACTAACAAACCTATCCGTCCCTCGAAGTCAAGTGGGTGGGCTCCTTTCCCCTAATTTTATCCAATAAAAGGAATCATCTCAAATGTTCACTATGGTTCCGTCCCAATTCTTTATATGTAACCTCTCCTCAAAGTGTCAACTCCCGCCATTATACTTTGTTGTGAATATGTAGTATACTTTCTCCTTTCTTAAATATAAGTCTTTTTAATTTTTTTAATATGGACTACATATTCTATAGATGTAGTTTAGAGTGTAGATTCACTCATTTTGCTTCGTACATTGTCCATATTAAAATCTTTAAACAGGCTTCATTTTAGAAACAAAGAGAGTATATTGTACTAGAACGGAGGGAGTAGCGTTTCAGTTTGTTACATCCACGAGAAAGAAATCAAGAGTCCGAAGGAAACCACGAGACACATGCGGTAAGCAATTCAAACTATATTTTAAAAGAAATCAAAAGAAAAAACAAAACAGACAAAAAAAATAATGCTCTCTAGATTTTGGGCCTGTTCGTAGATATGTCCGGTTCGGTCTGAGCCGAACGAAGCGCCCGACCTGGTTCGACCGACCGAGAGAGACCCAAGCCCTCTTCGCGCTCACCCCTACACGGCGCGGCGGCGGCGCGGCGAGCTCAGCCGCCTCCGCCCAAGCGCGGCGACTTCCAACCCACCGGCGAGCTCCTCCCGTTCCTCAGAGCGCCGAGGATTGTTCTCACCCAGCGGCGGCAGCTGTTTTCGCTCTGCCCTCCCGTCCCGTCACATTCCTCTTGTGCAAGGGCAGCCTAGCTCCAGTTGGCGGCGGCCCGGCGGACACCGGGCGAGCAGCCGTACCGACCAACCACGCGGCGGAATCAGCGGCGCCGCTCAAGCGCCTGTCATCTCCTACCACTCTCCGGGACCGATAAGCCCAGCGCTCACGTTGCCGCGATGTTGCAGGCCGCCGCCGCCGCCCGCCGCGCTGCGTTGGCCGCCTTCTCCACCTCCGCGGCGAGGCCGGAGACGGGCCTGTACGGCTTCGATGTGCTGCGCACGGCCAAGGGCTTCCGCCGCTTCGTCGACGAGGCCATCCAGCGGTAAAGGGGGGAAAAACCCTGAACCCCTTCGACCCCCAATACTGCCCCGCCCCAACCATCGCTCGCTAAATTTTCTGTGACCGTTTGCTCGAATTTGCAGGTCGGACGAGCTTGTTGCCCACATTGCGCAGCTGCCGCCGGCTGCGGATATTGTTCGCACCATGGATGAGATCTCCAACACTGTACCTTTCTCTTCTTAGGTTAATTTCTATTTAATCCGTGTGGTTTGATGTGGGATAGCTGACGATTGGTTATTAGGTTTGCTCGGTCATTGATTCGGCGGAGCTGTGCAGGAACACGCACCCAGATAGGTGAGTGGATGACCGGCTGCTTGCTTGTTGTGTAATTTGGATGCTCTGCAGTGAAGTGCTTTCAGTTTTTTACTGAATTAATATGTATGTGAACTAGGGAATTTGCGGAGGAAGCAGATAAGGCATCAATGAGGATTTACGAGCATCTTCAAGTAAGGTCTATAACATAAATGGCATATGTGAAAAAGGAGAGACCAGACACCAGAGTGAAATGACCAAACCAGAACTGTAACATTTCATTTTCTGTGATTTTCTGCAGTACCTGAACACAAATACTACTTTATACAACGCGATACTAAAAGCTGAGAGTGAAGGTGCCCTGCTCTCAGAGGAATCTCGGAAGGCAGCAAATAACTTGCGTGTCGACTTTGAGAAAGGAGGGATTCATCTTCCTAAAGGTTGCCATACTGACAGTTATATTCCGTTGCTTCTTGTCAGTTTTAATTTGAATTAGAAACATAATGCTCTACCATTGCAGATAAACTCGAGCGTGTTAATCAGCTGAACCTTGCAATTGCGCATCTGGGTAGAAAGTAGGTACCATTGGACACTGGCCGTTGCTAAGCTCAGTACTATTTCCACTGTTGAACTATCCATATTGACTTTGCATTCCATGTTGTAGTTGCACATCTCCTACTTGACTATCAGCAAGTGATTTCATTGTTTAGTGGCATTACTTGTTGGTAAGCATCTTTAATGTTGAGTTCCCACTAACCAATGTCATGCTTATGTTTTGATTATATATTTCTTGTAGCTTGTTTGTTAAGTTCGTTGACTGATTAAAGCCTGATATTTGGATCTTCTAATTATTTTCTTCAAATGCTTACCTAGATATTGCTAATACAAGCGCTTCAGCGGCATCATACTATTAAAGATGAGGGTTAAATTGCACACTTGGTTTGTTATCATTGGTTTATTTGATGGAACCCCATGATGGTTTCCCTTCCTTTTCCAGCAATGTTGAAAACAAGAAATAAACTGTTGGTTCTAAGTATATTTGCTTCATTGCACAACAATTCTGCTTTCACCTATTCATAATTAATCTTTATGAGCAATACGACTATTCTAAATAGCTACAGAACCTGCTAACTTTACATTTTTTTTTGTCAGTTTAACCACATTTCTCCCTTCTGTGCTTGTAGCATTCATGTTGTGGTCCCTCTCCAGTATATTTCTGTTATACCTTTTCTTTACCGAGTTGAATCTTTGCACTGCATTTAGCTTGACGATTCAATTTGGAAAATTACCTGTAACTGTTATGCTCTTTCTTGTTGCTCTGTCAGGTTCAATGAAAATGTTATGAACAAACCAGGTTTTGTGGATATATATCCAGCTTCGCGTATTCCAAGGAATATACAACATAATTTCAAACCTATTAGTCGTTTTAAACCTAGGGGTGTTGAAGAACAGAGCAATGCAATGAACGCTACAAGGCAAAAGGGTGTAAGGATAGTGACAGACTCAGGATCTGTATCATCAGCACTGAGATGGGCTTCGGATGAGGAGGTATGTTCCTTTTGTTCCACTCATAAGCATTGCAAAACTTCCTTACATCCTTATATTTGCATGACGTAAACATACATATCCATAGGGGTGTCCAAAACCTGTTTGACCTCAATCCATTCAAACCATCAGTTCAATTTTTTCTACTATCTCGGTTACTTCCGTGGTGAGCAGTGAAGGCAAATGAACTATCTTACTGTTTGCATGTTTTCATGGGTTGATCTCAACTCGTTTTTGAATACCCATACATGTTCATGATATTTTTAGCAATGTTTGGATTTTTTGTGCTCACTTATTTATTCTACGTGGAAATATCTTATCCATTTTTTGGTCTAGCTATTTATCTTTCCTACCCTTTTGATGCAATATTTGTATAGCTATAATGTATGCCATCACACTTATGCTAGTAGCATTCTAACTGTTCCAAAATTTCCAAAGGTCAGGAGACAGGTATACGTTGTAGGAAACTCTGAACCTCGTGAAAACATTGGTGTTCTTGACGAACTTATAGATGTTCGTGATGAGTTTGCAAAGGTAAATGCATTTTTCTATATCATAGAGTATATTTAGAGGCAACCTGATGCTAATGTTTTAACATCTTTGTGCTAAACTTCACTTGATGGTGCGCATGGTAAACTTACGATCTGAATACGGTGATGATGTTTAAGCTTTGGTTAGGTTTTCTAGCAGTCTAGATTAGTCAACTTAGCATGAATTCCTCTGTGCACTAATATCTTATAGTAAACCAATTGAAGGATATGAGATCCTTGTTTGTCAGTTTCAACCTTGTAGTTTGGCTGCTTGGTTGAGGTGGCATTGCTATGAGAATTATTCAGGAGTGTCACAGAAGTTGGTTATTTGGACAAGTAATGAACACTTTGTATCTCCATGGGGAAAACATGGTTGATCGTGAGGAAAATTAATGTTCTCTCAAGGGGGTTCTGGAGTCTAGATGACCCATGTTGGATATTTTGTCTTTCTATTGTTAGCAAATGTCTGAGCTAAATGTCACATACTCACATGCATTAGCTCATCTTTGGATCACATGTTATCAGCAGACAAAAATTAATCCAGTATTTGATGTGTGTACTCTGTTGTTCAGTTCTGTAGTTTAATGGAAGTTTGAAGAAACAGAACAAAATTGGACCTGATATACTTTCCTAAGAATGTTCATCAAATATGATGACATCGATTACATTATTAAGTATGAGTATTTCTTTAATTCTACTTTTATTCCAGGAAAATTACAACAATTTTTTTATCCTTTTCGCAGACTATGGGTTGCAGATCATATGCTGAATTTGCTATTCGTCCTAACATGGCTGCATCTGTCGATGTGGTCATGTCATTTCTCAACGATTTGAGTGACACTGTTAGGCATAAAGCTGATGAGGTATTCAAGGGACTGAAGGGGGTGAACTTAATATTGGCATACATAATACACATCGTTATATCCAACCAGTGGTTTCTCTACTTATATCAACCTTTGATGCAGGAATTTAATACTATAAAAGATTTTAAGAGAAGAATATGTAATGACAAGAGTGTTGATCTTGAACCATGGGATGAGGATTATTTCATTGGAATGATGAAATCATCTGCGCATACTGTGGATCCCTCGGTATGTGCTATTTATCTCAAAGATGTACAATTGTTGAAAGTAATGCTAAATATACTACTATTTAGGTTTCTTACCATAATATAGGTATTTCCTGTTAAATAATGTATGTAAATACACACTTTGCATAATATATGTTGATAGAAGCTAAATCAAACCTACATTTGGTACTTTATAAGCTAAAAGTATTATGAGGGGAAGAAAACTGAAGTACAGAATCGCTTAATAGTTTCATATATTTAGTCTGAAAAGCTTCATTTTCTGCAGTTGCTTAAATTCTTGAGGACATAAATTTTTACTTGATGTGAGCTATTGTTTTATTTCATTGTTTCCTGCAGGCTACCTTCCCTTCTCTTTTATCCTTTTTGATACTATCTTTTCTTATGTATCAGGTTGTTGCATCGTATTTTCCATTGTCCCAATGCATAAAGGGCTTAAACGTGCTGGTGGAATCATTATTTGGTGCCACATTTCATCAAGTTCCTATGGGGGACGGAGAGTCGTGGCATCCTAATGTGATAAAGCTGTCTCTCCATCACCCTGATGAGGTAATAATGTGCTACCTTTAGAAGATAGTTTTACATAAGTGTAAATTTGCAATTGATGTTCGTACCTGCTCGAAGTTTTGTAATTACTAAATTCAAAATGACAGCCCTTAGAAATAACTTGTGGTTTGTGAAAGGATGGCCAAGTAGGCAAGTACAGCTCTGGTATGTCACACCTAATAGACATTAACAATGCCTATCGATAGTCTGCCCTATAATTGTCTGGTCCAAATTAGCAACGAACTTCTATCAAATGGACGGGTCATGCCCTGTTGTTGAGTAGCGTAAATCCCATAGAAACAGTTTATAGTCAGAACTACAAGAAACATAGCAGAAGTCTGTTGCAGCATTATTTTCTCATGTATGCCATAAATTGGCTACCATAGCATAAAATTGTCTGCTAATGTCACAAATGATTTCAAAGCTATCAGGCACGTATTATGATGTGATAAAGCTCTCTCCATCACCCTGATCGAGTATTTGTATATCTTAATGAATGATCTATTTAAACTTCGAAATTATCACTCCTTTTTTCTGTCTTTCTGTAATTCATATATTTTACTCGTCTTGCGCCATAGTATTATGCACACATGTGAATTTAATTAGTTTATAGATGTACATCCTTGTTTTTCTCGATTATCGCATCTTCTCTCTCCCACACTTGTATGCAATGCTCTCATTAACTATCCCCCTCCCCCCTTCCAAGGTACATATATTAAAAAGCATGGTTGTTTTTCTTGTGTTTCTCTTGGTTTTATGATTTTCATGATCATTTTCTTGCTTTTTTCTTGGTTTCATAACGTTCTTAATCCTCGTGCCCACTCAAACACACCTTGTAACATGTCTAATCAACAGGGTGATTTAGGATTTATGTATCTCGATCTCTACTCCAGAAAGGGTAAATACCCAGGATGTGCTCATTTTGCAATCAGAGGGGGCCGGCGATTGTCTGACACGAACTACCAACTTCCAGTATATCCTCGCAATCTCGTATTGGTTATTGTTTATTTTTGCAGTAAAACTATGCTTTTTCCCATAAGGGAGTGGCATCTCAAATTCCATACCACTTAATGGAACTAGATTAATAGATCCCCATCTTGGAAAATTATATAGTTCAAATTCGTACTGCCAGTTCAGTTTATGTCAATCAATTGTGTTCTTGCTTTTCAGATCATTGCATTGGTATGCAACTTCTCGAGTTCTAGGGGATTAACTGCGAGGCTCAACCATTGTGATGTTGAAACTCTTTTCCATGAGTTTGGCCATGCCCTTCATTCTCTGCTATCAAGAACGGTATTTTGCTGGTTCTTCATTCAGGTTATCATACGATTTCTGCATATCTTATCTGGCAGCACATTGATATTTGCAGGAATATCAGCATTTCTCTGGTACTAGAGTTGCTCTCGATGTCGCTGAAACACCCTCAAACCTTTTTGAGTACGTATGACGTGTTAGTAAAAATAGATTCGCAGTTTGACAGTCTATCTAATTATGGCGTATCCAAAACAAACTTCTTTTGCTATTGGACTCTTTACCGATAGTTGAGTGTAATTTCCATTGCAGGTTCTATGCGTGGGACTACCGTGTCTTGAGGACATTTGCTCTAGATGAAACAACTGGTGATCCAATACCAGAAAAGCTGGTAAAGGCACTAAATGCTTCTCGAAACATGTTTCCGGCTACTGACCTCCAGCGACAGGTTTGCTTATATTTCTACTTAGTTTCTTATCACTTCATCAAAGCTGGCCAGTTATGTTTGTTGACCTTGTCCTTGTATTAATTGTGCCACTTTGTGTTATCGTGCCTGTCCCCCAGGTTTTTTATTCTATAATGGACTTAACTTTGTTTGGGGAGCACACATCGAAGCCAGTGGACACAATTTCTGCTGTTGCGGATTTGAAAAGAAAGCACACGAGTTGGAATTATGTAGAAGGCACTCACTGGCATACTCGGTTTTCTCATCTTATAAACTATGGCGCTGGTAGGGGTTTCTAGCTGTCTTCTAGTTTCATGAACTTTTTTTTCCATCTGGGAAGTTCCATAAACTGATTTGCATGCGATGCTTCTCATAAGGCCATATAACCTCTTATTTAACATTATTGCAGGGTACTATAGCTATCTCTATGCTAGATGTTTTGCCACAACTATATGGCAAGAAGTATGCCAAGGTGATCCATTGTCCCGCAGCACAGGTAGCGCGATTAGGGACAAGTTCTTAAGACATGGTGGGGCTAAGGATCCATCTGCCTTGTTGAAAGATTTTGCAGGTGATTCCGTCATTAAAAACTCTGGCGGCGGAATAATCCCTGACATTAGCTCATTGTGTAAAGAAGTTGGTTTGTGAAATACCACCAAGGGCGCATACTGGGATCATTATTTTTTTACACTGAGGTTGATTAAAGCAAAGGGTCAATAACTCGAAACCAAAGGCAGGAGTGCACGTTGGGAGTTTCAAGAGCTTGATCTCCTGGCCAGGTGCCACAGGATAGCTGAAGGTGTAGAAGCTACAGCTGGGATAGTTATATGAGGTTCTTGACAAGGAACTTAGTTGTGATTTCGAGATCCTAAATATATTTCTTGTTCACATATTAGATCAACTGAGTGTATCCTCTCTTACTGATGATCATACCCTAGAAGTCAACTATATATGCTGATGCATGCTGAGAGAATGATCTGTCAGATGTGTTCTTTGAGATCATCCTAGGTTTCACTTCATGGTAACTGATGACACGTATGGGTAGATGGTCTCCCAGAAAGGTCCATTTGTATCGACTTTACCTCAAAATCACCAGCTTCTATAACTTGTCAAACCTTATAGGTGCTTTTGATAACTTCGGTCCAAGTCTAAGCACGTTGAAGCAAATATGCTGTCATGGCAGGGCTTTTATTAAATGACGATTCGATGATATGTGATCCATACGTGAATTGTGCATTGTGAAGATTATGGCTGCTTAGGCTTTATTTTGCTTGTTTGTGATGATGGAATTAATAGATGAATGTGCAGCCTCTCAAAATGTGGGGCATCTGAGGAGCTACACTGTGAACTTGAATTGATATGACCCAAACATCTGGTAGGAAGCTATACACGACCGTATATTTCAAACACCTGTTAGTGACAATGCACTTTAAGGCAGCGAATGTGAAGGCTTGAATTGATATGATCAAGTTTTTTAATAGGGCCTACTTCATTGAGGGAGTGGATGCTCAGAATAGCGCACGAAGGCCCATGTGTTCTGTCTGAAAGCATCCATTGAATGGTTGTTGCAATACATGACATCAAACCTTAGTGTAATAGTGTTCATATTTAAGTGGGAAGCGAGGTAGAATAGGGTCACAAGTCACAAAGAAGCCACCCTGCACACCTAAGGTCCAAGTAAGGAGCATAGCTTGATCGTCGCTAGGTTCATATAAGCATACACCATGCACGCAATAGGCACACATTTGCACTTGGTTGGATCTACTTTTGCAATACCGACGAGACTCGCAATATCCTAGGACTTGGAAGCATCAGGACTTGTGACTGTACCGACCTAGATTTGTACAGGAGCTAGCAACGCCAGGACGGCCAAGTGGAAAATTAACCTTGCTAGGAGTCTGACCATTGTGGTAGCTTAAATGATAGAGATTGTACTGAGTACCTTGTACTTACCTCCAACCATGACATCTTCGAGGTTCCAATCTCTCTTTACTCTATTAGGTCGTTGGAAAGTACAAGATTGTAAGTGTATGTTCTATTGGCTCAGCTATTGCGCATGCATGTTGCTTCACACTCATGCCTAGTCGGTCTCCCGGAAAGATTTACTTGTATGAGCTTAGCTCACAGTCACCAACTTGTATATCTTGTCCAAACCATGTAGGTGTCGAAGACTTGACATTTGTGTTCACTTTGGCGACTGTGAGCTGATGCATGCATGCTGAGAGAATGATCTATCAGATGCGTTCTTTAAGATCATCGTAGCTTTCACTTCCAATTCCATGGTAATTGATGACACTTATGGCTAGTTGGTCTCCCAGAAAGGCCTATCTGACAGACTTTAGCTCAAAATCACCAACTTTTTTAACTTGTCAAACCATATTTTTGATAACTTCGGTCAAGTCTAAGCACGTCAAAGCAAACATGCGGTCATGACATGCTGACGAGGATTGATCACATGCACAGAGCATGCAAGGGCTTGGCCTCGACGTGAGGTTGTATGTGGTGTACCAAGGCAATTGGTGCTATCGATGCACTGGTCCCCCTTGTTAAAAATATTTGTTTTTTTAAAAGTGAATTAACACAACATCAATGTATGTTGTCACAAAAATTCAAATCAAAATTCGAAATATTGCTCAAGATATAAAAATGACAAATTTGGCACTAAATAGTACATAACACAAGCTGGGTTTCAGTTTTGGCCCATTAGCATATTGATGTCAAATTGTCATTTTTGTATCTCGAGCAATATTTTAAATTTTGATCTAAATTTTTGTGACAACGTACATTGATGGTGTCAATGCACTAATTTTTTTTGGATTTTTTGAATATTTATTAATGTGTAATAGGGTTCGGTGCACGAGTAGCACCAATTGCCTCGGTGCACCAGATACGTTGCCGACACGACGCGTCTCTGATGCTTACCAACACAATAATGCGGTTCTGACTCCTCTGAGGTGGTGATGTTACGTGAGGGGTGTTGAAGACCGACGGTGGGATTTGTGCATCCTGACCATAGTATTACTCGTTCATCTTTAGAGGGGAGTTGAACAGGGCTTTATCAAATGATGACGATTGGTCGATATGTGATTGTACATTCTGAAGATTATGTTGAAATATATTGCCCATCTTCCTCCATCAGTTCAGACTTTTGAATGAGTTGGCTGGAGTATGAATTCAGTATGGTATCCGAGCCAAGAGGTCTTGAGGCCTACATCGATAAACGCGAGGGAGAGTGTTGAAATATATTGCCCACCTTCCTCCATCAGTTCAGACTTTTGGATGTGTCATGGATTTGTCACAGCAGATGTCCTCGTTGAAAGGACTTAGTCGTGAGGCCCAACACGTCTAATTGGTGGCTTGAGAGGGGTTGAACGGGACGAGAGACGCGAGGTTTACCCAAGTTCGGCCCCTCACGGTGGAGGTAAAAGCCTACATCCTGCTTCATTGATATTGATGATGATGATTACGATTACAAGGGTGCTCTATCTCGAGAGCTATATAATTGTCTGTCTAACCCTAATTTGTCCAATTGATCCAAAACTTCTTCCTCTTGGGGTGCCCTGCCCCTCCTTATATAAGTTGAAGGCGCGGGTTACATGACTAGTCCTAGTAGGATTAGGACTAGTCTATCTTCTATTACAAGCCGGATACAAGTCCAGGTCTTACTTCCTTGCAAGGGAAATATTCCTCATGCCTTTCCTCTTAAGCCGGTCCACCATAATATGAGTCGGCCTTCCCACGAGCCGCCTTCTGGGCCGTTGGGTTTTGTCGATCGTCTGAACCACCTGCCGGGTCACCACTGAGTCACCAGGCCCGACCAGGTCATCAGTGAGTCGCCAGTCTTCGGGCGGGTTACCGATGAAACGCCAAGTCCCAGCCGGGTCATATCTCCGGCCGGGTCATACCGCGGGATACAGTGGCGGATCCAGGAATTGAACTTAGCCCGGGCAAAACATTGAAGGAACACAAAATTTGATTGACGAATGCAAGTCCGCTGAACCAAATCTCATAAAATTCAAATATAAAGCTAGATGCACTCGAAAATTTACATGACCAATGATTCAGAACAGATTAAGATTCTGGAGAACTAGGTTGTAACCACCTAAAATCACAAAATATAACATAAACGTCACACATAACTACTAACTTGGACTCCCGCTGCTTGAATAATTCATTCCATGGCCCAAAATGAACAACTCCATGACTAATAGATACCTACAACAGGTGAACAAGCTGATATCAATACATGTATTGGAACAAGTAAGCAAATAGTTTGAAACAGATAACAAAAGTAGTTACCCTAAGTCGTAAGTATATGGGGAGGGTTTGGTAGATGGCCTCTACAATCTCTCAAGATGTGAAAATGTTCTATGATCTTCTTGTCATCAATTCTAGCAAATATATCTCGCTCTACATAGCATATCATTCAACCAATCATTAGATATCTTATTTCTCAAATCTGTCTTAATGATATTCATGGCTGAGAAAACTCTTTCAACAGATGCCGTCGCTACTGGCAAAGTCAAAGCAAGTGTGATGGGTCGGTAAACCAAAGGAAAGTGTAAATGTTCCTTAGTTTCAACCAACCTGAGAGCAAGATTAGCGAGACTGCCACAACTGCAAAAAACATCAGACCTTTTCATCATATCAATGTATATCTTGAGCTGACCATCCAAATGATATTGTTCTTCTGGATCGAACTCGACTGAGTACATAGATGCAAGCTCAAGTAGGTTCACATGATTAAATCTGCTAAATGAGTCTCTAGGATCTAGACTAGCAATGCATATCAATAACCTTGTTGAAGTTTTGCTAAACCGGTTATTCATCTCAGCTATGTTTCTGTCAAGAACCTCATTGAATGTTTCAACTTTGTAGTGATGGAAGCAACTAACCATTTTGCGGGAACTCCTTGGGTAACCCCTTGCTGGTATATTCTCATCCATACTAGGCACTGGTATCTCCCTTTTAATACAAAACGAAGTGGCAGCCGCCAAAAGTGCCTCCCATCCGTCATCCCTTAGCTGTTGCAATAAACTTTTAACAGACACAATCATGTTCATTGCACTTATTATGTTTTGATCCTTTTGTTGCAATGCATGTGAGACAAAACGAAGTGGCAGCCGCCAATAGAAGTTTGCAAAGTGTTATCAAAAGAGCCCTCATTATACACTTCAGGTTCAGGAACTAGATCTTCTACAATGTTTGCATCTGAGGCTTCAGTGGATAAAATGTTTGCATCAGGTTCAGGAACAGGAACACGAATAGGAGCTTGAAATTCATTAGATGGTGGAGTTCCAAAATAAGCAGCAATTGGCTTCATCTTTTTAAAGATTCCCTACATTACAAAATCACCATGTCTAGAAATTGAAGGAACGAGAGCTTGAGATTCAGTAGCAAAGAATGGATTGGACTATTTATGGATTTACCTACTGGATGCGCTTGCTAATTTTGCTAACAGCAACTGCGCGTTTGCATGAGCTCGATCTCGATCCACTGCCGCCGCTGCCTCCTCCCTCATAGGCCACGCTCAGCATTGCTGCTTCTTTCCGTTCACCCATATGTGGACCGGCGAACAATGGATGTGGATCAGGTGCCCGCGGCCGGTGGCCCGGTGAGGCAGAGCTCTTCGGCGACAAGCCGATGGT